AGAGAGAGAGAGAGAGAGAGAGAGAGGGCAAGCAAGAGCTTCTAACAATCACACAAAATTATATCTGAGATTTTGTAAATTTTTGGGATGCCCAGGAGGGGCTAGCTTGCCCTCTACTTTTTTTTTCCTCAGCCAGGCTCACAACTTTAATTCCAACCTTGGGAGGCAGAGGCAAGAAAATCTCTTAATTTAAGGCCAGACTGATCTATTGAACAAGTTCCAGAACAGCCAAGGCTACACAGATAAACCTGTAAGGCAGAACTAGTCATAGATTTTTTTAAAATTATTTTTATTTCATGTGCATTGGTGTTTTGCCTGCATCTTTGTCTGTGTGAGAGTGTCAGATCCCCTGGAACTGGAGGTACAGACGGTTGTGAGCTACCATGTAGGTGCTGAGAACTGAACCCGGGTCCTTTGGAAGAGCAGCCAGTGTTCTTAGCAGCTGAGCCATGGCTCCAGCCCTAGTCATGGATGTTTTAAGGAAAGATTATTATACAAAAGTGGGCCTTTTGGTAAAAGAAATGAGGTCTACACATTTTCAAGTAGGAAAGACCTTAACATTGTCTTCTAATCCCTACTTTCCAACTGCCTCTCTAGAAACTAGTTTTAATATTCTGACATATTCATTCAATAAATAAACTCAGTTTTTTAGGTTACTTCACAGTAGAATCACCGAATTACTTTCCATACTTAACAACAATTATGTCTGGAAGGGTTAATACACACTATCTGTGTCATTATGACTTTCTAAATGATGGTGAAATTGTTCATCCTAGATGTTAACCTAGCTACACACCAACTCAAGCAGCAGGATGGTTCTACCTGCCCACTTAGAGACTCCTTGTAAGCCCCGCCCTTAGAGTCCTCCAGCCAATAGGCTTAGGCTCCATCCTACCACTGCTCTGGCCTCCCTGCCTCATCTCTTGAGGAGCCTACCAACTAGAGGGGTCAGAGGAGCTTCTTCTACAATGGGCAGCAGCTACTGTAGACTCAAGAGTAAGGGACTGGTGTGCTGAGTCCTGTTTGGGATATCTAGATCACTCCCTCCAGGAAACAGGACCACTGCTGAAAGAGAGTGAACAGATGTAGGAGCCAGAGAATGGGTTGGGATGCCACAGCCACTTCCGAATTCTGCGCTCAGGCCAGCTCTGATTACCTGCATTAAGATTGAGCACAACATCCTGTCATGGACAGGGACTCATAGGCCCCACCTCTTTCTCGGGAGCTAAAGGCTGAGCTATATCTTCAGTGGTACAGCCACTGGTGAAGCATGCATGCTCCAGTAAAGAACCTCTCATCCATCTCCTGTACACAAGTCTAGGAAAACTCATCGGGTCACTGCCAGAAAGAGACGTAAAAAATAATCCCATAGATATTTTCGTAACTCTACAAAATTCCTGAGTAAGTGCTTTTTAATTTCATTGGCTGTGCCCTCTTATACTCTATGTGTGTGTACACACACACTGTCTAGACAGGTTAGGAAACTAGAAATAAATGTCCTCTAGAATTTCTGTTAACTAAGAAAACCAAATGGCTTTCAAGAGATTCAACATTAAGAACAGAAGCTAATAGGCCATTTGAGGGCCCAAGACCGAGGTAAACAGATGACACATTATTACTTTTAAAATCTTTAATGTGATATATTTAATGCACTAAACCCTTCTGAGGAGCCCGGTGACCCTGTGGGCCAGTCCATCCTTTCGTCTGCAGAGACCCATCTGCCCTAACACTAGCTGAAACTAGTGTCCATTTCTGTTTTTGTGAGGCTCCCGTCAATAAATCCACAGTTTCTGATTGTAATCAACACTAGCCTCAGAGAAAATATCTCAGTATTCGCTTTTATTCTTTATGTGTCCACTATCTATGTACACAGGCTGTGTGATGATGGCCCACGTGCATCAGGGCTCCAGAAGGCTCGAGGAGGAAGACGTCCCGCTGTCACTCTTGCCTTATTACCCTGAATCCTGAGCTGCAGCGGCAGCCAGCAAGCCCCAGGAATCCTGTCTCTGCCTCCCCAAATCCAGAGGCACACACGGACACTTGTGTTTCAACAAGATAGCTGGAGATTTGCGCCCAGGACCTCATGTTTGTATAGAAAGTACTCAACCACTGAGACATCTCTCCAGCCCTCCTGAGAATTATCATCCCTCCAATTAGACACCACAACCTCTCTGTTATCCTGGCAGCATCGCACGGTAGCTCTGATGTATATTTCCCTAAGAATATAACCATTGCTCCACGTGTTTGTTGTTTATCCTTTCTCCCTGCCTCTGTCTGTCTGTCTGTCTGTCTGTCTGTTTGTCTCTGTCTCTCTGTCTCTGTCTCTCTGTCTCTGTCTCTCTCTCTCTCTGTTTTTCCCCAAATCCTTTGCCTGCTTTTAAATTTGGCACAGATGATCTTTTAAGTTTTTTCTAAGTTCTAGATTCAAGTTTCTTCAGATATATGGCTTGTGAACATTTTCTCCTATTTTGTGGATTTTATTTGGCTTCTGTGGTGTGTGTAAATCAGAAAAATTTTGAGAGTCCATTTTCTTCTCCCATGTGGGATCCCTCTGATCAACAGGCACAGCAGCAAGCACCCTCACCATCGTGATGGTCTATTTCTTCACTTTCTTGGTATCCTTTCCGTACACTTAAGTTCTGACCACTCCCAATGTATTCTTCCTTCTGTGCTGTGCTTTCAATACCGTATGTAAGAGATGACTGCATAAGTCACAGCCATAAATATTTACTGCTTTCATCTAAGAATTTATGGTTTCATTTTTGTGCAGTGTCAGCAAGCACACATATTTATTCTTATGTTTGTGCAGATCTTTGTGGGATGTGACTGAACTACAACTCCTGAAACTAAGATCCATTTCCTGTTTTATGCAGCCCGCTTCAGACTTAATTCACCAGAAATGGAAGGATTTCTGGGCTTTCGATTTCATTCCACTCACTGACGCTTACGTTTATGCCAGTGGCAGGTTTTCTTAGTTATTGTGGCTTTGCAGTAGATTGATAACCAAGATGAGTCCTCTAACTTTACGACACTGCCCTGACCCGCAGACCCAGCACAAGAGCATTACTTTAGGGATCCAGGAACATTTCCATGTACAGTCATGCCTTGAGCGAAGACATTCTGAGAAACGCACCGGGTATCTGCATCCCCATGACCACATACAAAGGATGACAGCTACGTCACTACAGAAAACACACATCTATGGGAAGCCCCGCCTATATTCAGCCTGTCACTGCCTGGAACCTCATCCGGCAGCACATTTAGACCCTAATTTCTTCTAAGGCTTACTGCTTTTCAATGTGCAGTCTTGCATTTTTTGTTGATCTTTTAAGTGTTTCAGTTCTTATGCCAAATCAAACTATTTTGGGTTTTGTTTTGTTTTTGTATTCATTTGGTCTTTTGAGACAGGTTTCCCTGTATAGCCCTGGCTGTCCTTGAACTACCTGTAGGCCACACTGGCCCCACAAAGATGCCACATGCATCTGCCTCCCGAGTACTGGAATTAGAGGTGTGTCCCACCACTGCCCAGCCTATGGAACTATTTTGTTAATTTCACTTTCTGATTATCTAATATTGCTGTATACAAGTACAGTTCACTCTTGTACATCAATCTTGTATTCTGAAATATTGCTGAATTTGGTATGGATCTCAAGAAGTTTGACTCAGACATCTCCTAAGACTTGAGGAGAAAAAAAACCGAAGGTCTAGTGGCTCTACACTCTCTGTATATTAGCTTACCTGGATTACACGGTCTCGGTGACCCCTCATTTCTAGTCATTAGTATAATCGTTCTGTGTGGCAAAGCACGGGTACTACATTTCCCAGACTCTGGTTAGCTGACTGGTTTCGCCTAAGGCACTAATGAAATCTAAATGCACTAGTAACTAACTACGCACCACCTGAGTTACAGGGTTGCTGTTGCTGCATGTTTTATAGGACATGGGTGCCCAAGTTTAGGACTATAAACACTGTTCATCTGTACTTGGATTTCCAACTTGATGAATATTCTATTGAAGGCAAACTATTTTGAGGTGTTTTTGTTTTGTTCTTTTTTTATTTTTTTAATTCACTGTTCCTTTATTCAGGGCACCAATAAAATTGCAAATTTTGTAAAATTACATTTAGGAACCAGAAAAGAACAGCATTTTGCATGCATGCAAAAATATTACCAAACTGTCACACATTAAAGATCATTTGCTATAATTTCGGAAGCCTTCTACTTTTTGCTTTTGAAACACTTCAGTCCAAAGTTTCTAAACGAAATAGTATAGGCATAATATTTAGTAATAAAAAAGACTTCTGCTCAATCACAGCAATGCTTTTCTAAACAACCAAATACAAATGAAACGCCTTTGCACCTCAATTCTAAGGGAACTGGAATCACTCGTCTCAGTTTTATAAAACTGACAACTACCACACTAGAAAAAGGTTCTCACGTGCCAAATAAAAGTAATCTCACATTTTATCTTCCAGAATAGAAGTGTGACGGTCTTCCCCTTGAAAAATTCACGTGACATTCTATCACAAGGCCTATTAATGCAGACTCTGGAGAAACCCCAAATGTAATTGTAATCAAAAAAATGGTGCAAAAAGCTGCATCAAAGACAGCATTTGTGCTGCAGATGTTAACCCAACCCATGCTTCACTAGCAAGGCCCTGCATTTCATCCCCAGCAACACAAAAATAAATGAATGAAGCACACAAGACTAGAAACAAGTCCTGAAGGACCTGGCAAACATCCCCCCCCCCCAAAAAAAAAATCCTGGCGCTACCAGAAGTATTTTTTAAAGGATACATTTAACGGTGATAATATACTAGGCGTGCTTTCTTCTCTCTCAACACCAAAATGTAGCAAAGACTTTTCACTCCCTCCCCTAAGTTTCTTTTCACAGGGACAAGCATATGGTATTTACCACATGGCAACAAGAGTGTGAATTCCAAGCTTTCTCCCTCCCGTTCAACAGTATGCCAGAGGTGCCTGCAGGCTTTCAGAAGGGTATGTTCTAAAAGGAATGTAGTTTACTAAGGGGCTTCAAATCTCCACTCCAGCTTCTCTCTACAACACTCTGGGTGAATCGGTCTTTACAATCTGTCTAGCCGTTATCCATCCAACAGCCTGTGACACAAGACTTCTAGGATCTAGAATTTAAAGTCTCAACACAAACTAAGTTGGGCAGGCCTAGCTTGCTGCATTTACAGCAGGTGTCTGCGCTTTCTCTGCCCCTCACTGCCCTTTTGCAACCTCTTCAATGAATGTTATTAAATATACATTGCATGTACCTATATTAAATAATAATCTCTGTGATTTGTGTTGATGACAGACACAAATACTGTGGCTTGTGGCTCATATTTGTAAAGAAGGAATAGTATTCTTAGAGGTTACTGATATTAATATCCTTTCCACCCAAGTTAATGTTCTATTAAACAACTTTTTTTTATTTTTATTTTTTTATTTTTTTATTTTTTTGGTTTTTCGAGACAGGGTTTCGCTGTAGTTTTAGAGCCTGTCCTGGAACTAGCTCTTATAGACCTGGCTGGCCTCGAACTCACAGAGATCTGCCTGACTCTGCGTTCCAAGTGCTGGGATTAAAGACGTGTGCCACCACCACCCAGCGTTATTAAATAACTCTTAATCAGTTTTTTTTTTGTAAAACAAACAAAACCCAAGTGTTACATGTCCTTATTCTGTGACATCCATCCATACATGTAAAACCGGAGTCCTTACTAAACATAACATTTCTTCTCCCCACTGTAAATATCGAGTTTCTAGTACTTTCGATCTTTTCTGTATTCTCTGAAGTGTTGGTCAATTGTACCGGATCTAGAACACACACACACACACACACACACACACACACGTTTATTCATATTTAAAACTATTCTTCTCACCTTGAGAAACTTTCATCATAATTTGAGTATAAAACTGCCACTTCCCAATTGTCTCCACCCTAACACGGTTTAAAACTACTAACATCTTAGCCACAATCCCTTGTCACTACACGACACCTCCTTCTCCACTTCCCTTCCAGCCAGCAACTTTTAAGGTTCCTCAATTTTTAAAAGGTAAAAACGTAGAAGAGGCTCTCCACGGATTTTCACATTTACCATCTCCACGTAACCGACTCGTCACCGGCCTAGCCACTCCCGCGGTCCGGGGACAAGAAGAGAGGGGGCAGGAAAAGAGTGGGGTCCCCGGAGCTCCGAGCAGCGCCGGCCCAGCGGGCGGCGGCCGAGGAGCACACGCGGGCTTCGACCCGTCCCGGGGCGTCCGGGGCTGGGGAGGGGAAGTCACCTGAGATGCCCAGCCAGGGAGCAGCGGCAGCACCACACGGGCATGGAAAGCGCCGGTCCTCCGGGCGTCCTGCACCGCGGCTCAGCGGCGCGGGAAGTCCGTCCCCGCACGGCCGCTTCCGCTCCTCCCGGCCGGCGGCAGGGGCGGTGCAACGGGGAGGGGCGGGGCCGGGCGCTGCGTCGGCGACGCGTGGCCCCGCCTACCAGGACGAGGCCTTCGATTGGTGGAGCCGCGGCGGGGGGCGGGCCCACGGAGGGAGACGCGCAGGGCCTTGGCGCTGCTGTCCCGGTCAGAGCGAGGCCTGTGCTCGCCCCCGGGTCTGGAGCGGGCGCTGGGTCCCCGCGCCCCGGGGGCTTCTCCCTCCGGCTGCAGCCGGCGAGAGTCCCGCCACGAGCACCCACCTGAGCCCACGGCCTCGCATCGCGGGCACCTGAGAGTTGGGCCAACCACAGGTGCTCCGGGCGGCTGCTCGTCAGGTGTGCGCCTGGCCGCGTTCAGCCTCCCTCCTTAAAGAGCGCGGCCCCCACAGTCCCCAGGGTGGGGAAGGCCTCGGCCCTGCGGGGACATTTGGGGAAAGGGCAGAGCTAGAAAGTGTTTTGAGTTCCTCCAGGTGTCTGCGATTCTATTGGCAGGAAAATTCTGGACCGGGCGTGCATTCTGTTTGGTATTTGTCCAAAGTTGAGAGGTGGGGGTGGACACCCTAGAAGCAATGGACTACCTGCTGTTCTTCAAGAGGAAGCCCTGATTGTTTGGGACAATTAAAACACGCGCGTGTTTCTGTCTTTGAAAGAAGCACTCTTAAGTTTTTCAGAATGTTGGAGTCTGAATTTTTAAGCAAATCAACCAGGCAGGGCGCAGTGACCCACACCTTTAATCCCAGCACTGGGGAGGCAGAGGCAGGTGAATCTCCGTGAGTTCAAGTCTAGCGCTGTCTATATAGGGCAGCCAGAGCTTTATGAGAGACCCTGCCTCATAAATGAAAAAGAAAGAACTCAGCCTGCAGTGTATTTGCCAGTTTTTTTTTAAAACTATGTTCTTTTCTTTGGAATAATAGCAATATGGCAGTTCATTTTACTTTTAATGTATTGCCAGTGGTGAAGGACGGTTTCTGGAAGGAAGCTGTGTCTGCAGAGACTGACTGGCTATAGCTGCTATCCAGTGGAAAGCTGGGATTGCTGCAGGGCCAGAGGCTCATCACCTGATCTCGGGCTAGTTCTAGCATCGCAGAATAGCCATTGACTTGACCGCCTCTAAGTGTGTACTAAAAACCTTGTGACTAGGAGATAAAATACCTTTCGGGACCTATAAACTCAGCAGACCACTGACTTTCACCAGTCCAAAGCTAAGAATGCGGTAAGACAGCATCCTGTGACTACAGTGAAGCTGCCTGCACCTTGGCCAGCCTGCCTGCCGGTCTGATGCACTTTAGTAAAATATGCCAATGTATTTTAAACGTGCCTCGACTTCTTTGTTCTGTAAAACTTCATGAAACTGTTTCCAGTTGAACCATGAAATTTGAGGTCATTTAAATCTGTTTTCCCAGGCCATGGTCACTCAGGGTAGCTCCAGAATAATTCCTCGCGTGCCCTTTAAGAGGGCAGCTGTATTTTTTGCATCAACAATGTGACACATAAGATTACAATTCTAATATGTCGTTGTCTTTTTATACATTTTTCCTTTATGGCTTCATTTTTAAATTGTAGTTTTTTTTGCTTTTCAATAGTTGCATAAAAATAGACACATCAGATTTCAAGTTTACTTTGGTTTGTATTTAACGTATTTTTAGCGAATATTTTTAATCACTGTTGTACAGGGTGTGTGGGTCAGGAATGAGTCCATAGGTTCAGGAGCATACAGAAGCCATAAGAGAGTGTGGGACTCCGCTAAAGCTGAAGTGATTGGCATTTGGGAGCTGCCCAGTCCAGTCCATGCTGAGAGCCCAGCTCCTGCCCTAAAGTTCTTAATGATTGAGCCATCTCTCCCGCCCCTATTGTTTTGAATGTGTCAGAATTGTGAGAAAACAATTCCTAGTGTTTATGCCTTTTAATATGTGGTATTATAGAATGCCAGTCAGATCCAAGATAGTATGTTTTTGCATTTTCTACAAACAAGTATTTTAGTCATTCTAAACAAGCAGTTGCTTTCTGTATACTCTGGGCAACTGGCAGTGGACCATTTCAGAAAAGCCAGTAATTTGATCACAGAATACTCAGAGAGCTCCAGGAAAGATTCTAGAAAGGGTATTCTTTTATTAACTTAAAGCCGGAGATGGCTTTCAAATTTGCTGTCGTCTAGGCAATTGATTCTTCTTGGTACCATAAGCAACTGTGCCTACCTCTGATTGCTGTGGGACAATGGTCTTTTATCCTGTCATTTGTATTATTTTTAATAAAGTACTGGTTGGCCAGTAGCCAGGCAGGAAGTAGAGGTGTGGCAACGAGAATTCTGGGAAGAGGAAGTTTCAATCTGCAGTTGTGACCCAATCTCAGAGGAAGCAAGATGTGACTGTCCCGCCAAAAAAGGTACCAAGCTATGTGGCTAACTCAGACAAGAATTGTGGGCTAATGTAAGATATAAGAATTAGCTAATAAGAAGCCTGAGCTAATGGGCCAAGCAGTTTATAGTTAATGTAGACTTCTGTGTGATTCTTTGGGACTTAATGGCTGCAGGACAGGACGCGACAGAAAACCGGTCAGCATCTGATGATGCTGGAATTGTCATCAGCTCAGCCTTCCACCCTAGGTAGCAAGCACTAAGAGAACATCCATGATTCCATACAAAACAAGGATAGAAGCTGTGCTGAAGACCAGGTGAGGTTTGGCTTCTCAGTTTGATTTTGGGGGACAGAAACCTCACAGAGGCTTCCCACTTAAATAAACCTTTTAAAAGATTTTGTTAAATTTTCAACAATCCAGTTCAGCTGCAGAGAATTTACAGAAGGAAAATAATTTTATGCATTATGTTTCATACAGGTTACTCAAGAGAATCATAAGAGAGCAGAGGCCTTAATGTGGGAAGGAGTCAGAAAAATCCCCAAGTTACACTGTAAGATCCCATCACTGTCTGAACGAAAAGCTGTGTGCCCAGTCAGAAAGCTGCAGTTGCAGACGGTCTACAGCTATGCCTGACATGTGTTATTTTAATATGTTTTATTCCTTTCTCTGATATAAAGTTTCGTAGGTCAGAACTTTTATTTCTTTGTTCACTGTTGTATGGCAGATCCTGGCTTGTGGTAGAACACACAGATAACAGCCAAGTGACCTCAGAAGGGCTGAGGTTGAATGTCTTTCGAACTGAATGGAACAGATGAACAGAAGTTAGGAGAGATATGTATTTTATAGCTTGTAAACTCTATATGGGTGCTGTATACATTACTATAAGATAAGAGAAAACAGAAAAATTGAGACACCTCATGCAGCAAAAGATAACAGGTTTTATGTATTTTTTTTTTCAGAAAGTGAGAGTAGAAGATTTTGGATGAAATGCATGGTAAGAAAATGTATAAAAAGTAAGAAGCAGCTAGTGGCATATGCTTTTGATCTCAGCACTTGGGAGGCAGAGGCCAGTGTATGTCTGGGAGCTTGATGCCAGCAGGTTCATAGACTGTTCCAGTATGTCAGTGTTTCATATAGAGAGACCCTGTCTCAAAAAACAACAACAAAGAAAAGAAAAAGAGGACACAGTCTGAACAAGCAGATAGCCTACTATTGTGCACTGAGCAGACAAAACCATGCGTTAGGGTATATTGTGGGATTCAGGAAGAGCAGAGTAAGCAGGAGTCGAAAGGCTCTACAAGGGAGTGAAAATCAGACTAGCAGAAGACTTGTAATCAACAGGACAGAGTCTTAGAAGGGAAATCTTTGAAAGTTCCAGGTAATGGCTTGAGCTTGGAGGCCTCCTATCTAGATCAAAAGACTACAAGGATGTCAGGGTAATTGCCTATAATAAAAAGGAGTTCCTCGCTATGATAGTACCTTGGAAATATTTGAAGAACCTGCCCTGATAATACTGCCATAAAAGTAGACTTTAAAGACAGAAGTAAAACTGCATTTAAAACCAGCTGAGGTGGCTTTGTGACAGAAATGGACAGGGGATAATGTTTGCACAGGGACAAAGTAAACACCTGCCCATTCTCAGATTTGCAATCCTTTGAATAAGAAGCTCTTCATTATCCTCACCGAGCTGGTTGCAAGTGTTAAACACAGTAATATAAAAGAGCATGGAAGAATAGGAGTTTGTGGTACAAAGTTGTCTTGTGAGGTGAGGATAGATTGCTTATAGTTGAAATAAATATAAATTGAAACAGATTTTAAAATCACAAATGTAAACAATGGGGAAACTAACAATAGTGATAGAATTAGGTGTTGTGGGTAGAGAAATTTTGATAGTTTAATGTGTTAAATCTGTTTCATGGGGTTTAGGCACTAACAATAATCAAGAATTAGCATCATGAGCATATTTTTACAGGTATGAGGGTGTTAAACAGTGGTTGTCCCGAGGTAACAAGATTGGAAGGTTGGAGAAGGTTGGGTTGGAGAACCTCTTGTTGTTTTGTTTTATTCCAGTCAGCTCACTTACATATTTATCCAGGCACACGTGTATGAAATGGACTTTTCTGAGGATTGAGACAGAATACTTTTCTATCATAAAAATACCAAACTGTATGAGTGGATACTGAACAGCTCTGTTCTCCAGGTTTGGTGAGCACCTGCTGCCTGCCTTGCTGGTACCCTCCTCCCATCCTCTTCCATTCTCAAAACGTCTCTGTGCACGTGGTGCTGTGTGTTGCTGGAAGGACCTCGCAGAGGGGCAGAAAGCTCCTCACAAAGTCTAGTGGAAGAGTTCCCAGTACTCCTGCAGGTAGGATTTCTGATTCTGGGGCTCTGGGTAGCAGGGGAAGGAGTAGTTCTGATGAGAAGTGAGCTGTTGTTGGGGGCAGGAATGGGAGGAACCAGGTTTGCTCTTTGAGCAGAACAGTGTTTCTTAACCACGGCTGCACATTAGAATACCATAGCATTGCTAACACACTCTCATGCTTGGGCTGGAGCTCTTCCCTACTTCCCCCCTCCACTGCCAATTAAGTTTAAAAGTTTCCATGGGCGCGACCTCAGGCCCATCATTCAAATCATACAATTACTGAACAGTTAGCCAATGAATCGAAAAAACTGTCAAACCGGCCCCCTGTCTGAGGGGAGGAGGAGTAGCTCTAAATCATCCTGAGCAGACTGAGAGTCACTTTGTTAACCGGGTTGGCCTCAAATTTCCAGCATTCCCCTTCCTCTGTGTCCCGAGTCCTGGGATGACAGGACCAGGCCATCATTCCCACCTCAACTTCCCTTTGTTCAAACATTTTCATTCTAATATTGGAAATTGAATCAAAAATCTGAAAAAGAACTTTATTCTTTCCTTTTCCCCCAGACTTGTCTTCTTCTTGTTGTTTTGTTTTGTTGCTTTTTGAGGCAGGGTTTTATGTATTTTAGGTTGGCCCTGAACTCACTAAACTTACTATATATAGCTAAAGATGTTAAACTTCTGGTCCTCTGCCTTTGCCTCCCCAGTGCTGCGATTATACACATATGCCACCACTCCTGATTGACACGGGTTAGTGATCCCACCCAGAGCATCCCACATGCTAGATGTATGCACATACAAGCACTCTACCAGCTGAGCTGTATGTGAACATCATACATGCTAGATGTATGCACATACAAGCACTCTACCAGCTGAGCTGTATGTGAACATCATACATGCTAGATGTATGCACATACAGGCATTCTACCAGCTGAGGTGTATGCAAACATCATACATGCTAGATGTATGCACATACAAGCATTCTACCCACTGAGCTGTATGCCCGGCCTCTGTGCACATTTTTTTAGCTTTTCATAGTTATGGCATAAATAGAAAATGTGTAGCTTTTGTTTTATTGACAAAGTTACTTCTGTTTAAGATCTCTCCTCTCAATGTGCCTTTCCCTGACTTACGATAGCAGACATCAGCTGTTTTCCATAGTCTCTCATTCCTCTCACGCCTACCTCAGTTCTTACCAAGCAAGCGCCTAGAATTCTGTGCTGCAGCAGCCCAGCAGTGGTGGCGCACGCCTTTAATCCCAGCACTAGGGAGGCAGAGACAGGTGGATCTTTGTGAGTTATAGGCCAACCTGGTCTACAAGAGCTAGTTCCAGGACAGGCTTCAAAGGCTTCAAAGCTACAGAGAAACCCTGTCTCGAAAAATCAAAAAAAAAAAAAAAAATCTGTGCTGCCTGTTTCTGGCTACTTTAAAGTAAAAAGCAACCCATTTCTATTAATCTGTGAATCACCACTAGGCTGTGGCCTACTGGTAAGGTTCTGGCTGGCAACTGGCGTCTTTCTCCTCTGGCAGCTACATGGCCTCTCCCTGACTCTGCCTACTTTCTCTCCGTATCCCTGTTCAGATTTCCCACCTGGCTTTACTAAGCCACTGACCGAAACAGCTTCTTTAATAACCAACGGTAATGAAACATATTCATAGCATAGAAAGGGGAGTCCCACTTCAACACTCACCCATTTTGCACATACCTAAATCTCCTATCTTCTCAATGAGGCTGATCCCATCACCCTGTTTAAAAAGAAATCCTTCCCTTGGTGTGAAAAATGGCACCCACCATGTTGGGCTTGGTAGTACTCACCTGTAATCCCAGAACTCAGGAGGCAGAGGCAGGAGGGTCTCTACAAGTTCCAGGTGAGTCTGATGGTCTATACATTGAGTTCCAGGTTAACCAGAGCTACACAGAGACCCTGTCTCAGAAACACCCCCATGGCACCCTCATCTCAGCTGTTCTGCCCATTTTTATTGTAACACTTGTAATATAATTTCTATACTTAGATCTATTATGCTTAATATGTTTAAGCCCCTTAGAATATAAGCCAGTAAAATGATGGGTCTTCTTCATTTTATTCATTAATAAACCTTAAATGTCTGAAACATTCAACACTAATGAACCCTCAGTAAGTATTTGTTGAACTTCAGTAACCTCTTAAATAGTATTTGGCTCATTTTCTTCCTAAAAAAATGTGTTTAGTCACGTTACATAATATGTGTTTAGAATGTACTAACATTACATGGTTACGTAAAATCTTTGTGAGTTCCAATCTCCCCAGGCAAGTGTTCTGTTTCCCAGTGAAGCCCGGGATAGCAGTCAGGAGATCTGGCCTTTGATCTCCTTTTGTCTGTTAAGTCTCCTCAAAAGTTTAGTCAAGTTATTTTACCACTGTGAACTTCAGTTACATAATATATAAAAGAACAAGATTAACATAAATAAATTCTAATTTAACTTGCTTTTCTATTACATAATATTTTCTTATCAGTTGTGAGCTTAGAAAAAAACTGTTAATGTTGAATTTTCCTTTTGTTGATTGCTTTTGGTTTTGATACAGGACCTCACTATGTCATTCAGGTTGAACACAAACTCAGCATCCTGCATAGTAGAGCAAGGTATATTTGGAAAGTGATCCCTATCCTATCTTTCAATCTATAAGCTTCAGAATTCGAATAGATGCCACCAATAGGATCTTTTAAGAGGACACTGATGCTATTTTTCCCCTTCCAAGTGTGTTTTTGTATTCTGCTCTTACTGTTTGGGTTAAAAGGTCAAGCTCCCCAGTCCTTGACAGGACTCTCCAGCTCAGCAGTGCTTTGGTATGCGCAATGATCTTTGATCTCAGCTCCATGTGGGACACCTAACAAGGACACTGCTTTTGGAAGTCCACTGCTTTGGAGAGAGGCTTGGGAGCAGGAGGGGGGAGGGAGGTGCTTTACTGTGATTAAAGTCAGGCAAGCACTCTACACTCTACATCTCAACCCTTTAACAGCTCTAGTTGGACCTGTGTGTAATCCCAGAACTCCAGAAGTTGAGCAGAAGGATTTGGAACTCAAAGCCTACCTTAGCTACAGAGAGAGTGCATGGGTAGGCATGCTGCCCTTGTCCTGAGAGAAACCAAAGGATGTGTGTGTGTGTGTGTGTGTGTGCAAACACGCAAGTATGTGTGTACGTGTGTGTATGCTTGTGTGCATGTGTGTGTGTTCATGTGTGTGTGTGAATGCATGTGTGCTTGAGTCTGTGTGCTTTTGTGTGAGTGTGGGCATGTGGATATGTATTCACATGTTCGTACCGTGTTTGGAGGCCAGAGGATGTTGTCAGGTGTCTTCTGTCACCCCCTTTTCATGTTTTGAGACAGAGTCTCTTGCTAAACCTGCAGCTAACCTGTTGGCAAAGGCTAGCTGTCTAGTGAGGTCGAAATCCGGCATCTCCACCTCTGTAGTTCTGGGATTACACATATGGACTACCACGCCCAGCTCAGACATGGGTCTGGTCCTCTTGCTTATCCAGCAGACACTATATTGACTAAGTTATCTCTTGAGGCCCCCCAAACTGCTTAGCTTTTCATGTTTACGTAAGGTCTAACTAAGCTTCTCTGACCTGCCTTAAGCCTGTGGTCTTACATCAGCCTCCCAAGAGCTGTGAGTATTGGCATGTTCCTCTAGCCCACTTGTTCACTACTGCTCTCTATGTATTTCCTAAACAAAACTGCACCAGGGAACAAATTAATGCCCACCACTACTTATTTATTTTAGTATGTTTCATGGTAAAGTTGTTAACACTTTAAGGCATTTAGTTCCATTATTACATAATTTATGCTTAAGGTAGAAATCATTAATATATTAAATGCCTTAAAGTCTAACTTGAAATATTGAACTTTTATAATACGATCACTTTGTTTATGTAATGGTGATATCATAAGATGTTTAGTTTTACTGGAATAACTATATTCTCACCTTGGTTCTCAGTCTAATAACAGATCTTAGTAAGTCCAATAAATAAAATCTTCAATCATAAGTAGTTATTTTGCTTTGGGTTATGTACTGGTCAGAACACAGTTGACATGATCATTAGATTAAGTAATGGCCTATTACACTGCATGGTTTAGCAAAGGTATTCCTTTACAGGATTGTCAAGGCACCAGACTTTAATGTCAATTTATGTGCTGTAGAAAAATCAATAAGAGCTGCCAAGTGCGCAATAAGTGTAATGTGGTATCCTGAACTTAAAATTAGAGTTTGAAGTAAATTGAAACAAACAACACCTAACGTGGAAAACACATCTACCTTCTACATGAATTTTCAATGAGGAAAAACTAATCTAGAATTCCTCTGTATTCAAGAGTTAATTTCCAGACCACAACATCACAAACCACCAATGCTTTAGATAAACTGATGAAAGAAAAGTGATTTGAACTTTCCATCTACTGCTTTCACTTTTTATTACTTTCCTTTTGAGTCTGTATCTCTCACTGCGGTTATATTCCGGCATGAGAAGACTGTGTCCCTTCTCTAGTCCCTGTTGTAAAAATTCTATTTGTCGTTTCTGTCAATGCTTCCTTGGAGTGGCTCGTTTCTTCAAACTGTAAATTCATCTCCAACGAAGCTTGGTTGGATGGTGTGTGCTTAGTACATAGAATCTTAACCACAGGCAGTTTTACATTTGCTTAGATTGAGCGGATTTGGTTATATCCTGACCGGTTACCATGCAGACATCTGCTTAGGATCATTTGAGCCAAGCACACAGAAGCTAACCATAGGCTGAAGTGCTGGCTTGCTATGGCTTTGTTCCATCTTAGAGCCTCAATGGAGAATAAACTCTTGCTGATTCATAAGCGTGGTCAAGGACAGAGATGTTCCCATATCTCATATCCTTATCACAGACTAGTCATCCCCTCTAAACTCCTGCGTCTGTGCAACCAACTTAGTCACACTGTGGTCAGGGTGCTCTTCGTGTTTGCTTGTACGTATCCCACCATCACATTCATGAGCACAGTATCGGA